ACAGCCTGCATTTGGCTGGCCTGTGTTTTCCAGGGAGGCATCAAGCCTCAGTCTGAAGGCATCAAGAGCCAAGGAACCAACCACAGCTCTTGACTGTTCCAAGGCTTTATTTACCGTCAGTGGTTCTGAATCAGGTACTGAAGACTATTCTATTTTCATTTGCTTGATTCCAGTCGCTAGGCATTACCCCTTCATATTGCACTCTTTGGTAGGTTCAGGTGGCCCTTATATTCAGTATTTTTTCCTGTGCATTAATGTATACACTTTTATCAACTCTCTGATCCAGTGAATAGGTAAAGATTTTAGTATCTTCAATTATGTGGCATTTTCTCTGACTCCAGGTCATACTGTAGCCCTTCTCTACACTCAGTGTCCATCTTGCAATGTGAGCATCATGACTGTGCACACCATGCCCTAATCAGCCTCAGAATTTGCACAGACAGGTAAAAACTGCCACCATGAACATCTGCACTCCGGCTATAAGCTAAGGTTTGCATAAGCCCTTTTTGCTACAGTTAAGCTTATCAGTCTTTTTCAAACTTTGCATTGTGGAGGAGAGCCTGCATTCTTTATTCCCAGGTATGTCTTCTATTGATTTTATTACAGCATACTTTGTTTGAATGAGGTACAGTTTAGAAAAGGTCAAGAATTACTCTGCATCTTTGCCTGAGGTAATTTTTCTATCTATTTTTAACCCCTTTAAATAGGCTGTGTTCTAGTATGTTTCCTGACACCACAGTAATTCTTGACATTTCAGATACAAGTGATCAGAAAACACTGGCAGAGATAGTCACTGCCACATCCCAGTGCATTACTGTAGGGCTGCAGAGCTCTGGGAAGTGCTCATCTGCATGTGAGAGCAAAGCTGGCAATCTCAGCTTCCTGCAAAGTGGTTAAGGTATGAAAATGGAAAATGAGAAACAGAAAAAAGGACTTTAGTCCCATGGTTTTCAAATCAATCTCTTCATGTTAGTGCAAGACTCATGAGTCCTGAGTGATTGAATTTGACAGGATTCCTAAAGGGCACAACAGCATGAAGAGATTTGTCTCAACCTGGTGCTAAAGAGAACAAAATTTTGCTGCGGACTTGTATTGCCTAACAGAAAGAGGAATTAAAAGTTGGAAGGCATGTGGCATTTAGGCTAATGAAGACTAATACATTTAACAGTCTATACTATCACTAAAATTGAATTTTTATATACATGTATGTAAGTATAAATATTTTTAGTGCTGTCAGGGCAAGAACCACTTTCATTTGCTCATTTGTAAATAGATTGATTTCTAATTCTAGGCTTCTTCTACTGATTTAACTGACCCAGGAAAGGTTAATAGATGCGCTCTAGTGTCAGCAGGGACGCTTTTAGATCTGTCAGCAGATAGAAAAAGTTGGATTGAGCTGTGGATTCTGGCAGCAGTGGATGCAATCCACAGCAATGTTTGGAACCTTTCCTGGCAAGCTCCCAGAGGTGGGGTTTGGCAATTGCTTGTCGGCTGTAAAGAACATTCTGCATGGGCCTGGCTTGTCATTTGGCTTCTCATCCTTCAGATCCAACCAAGATAAGTTGAGGTATTGAAGGGAAAGAAACCACAACTAGGCAGGGTTTAGATCCAAAGACATAATGAAATGGCTTTCTCCCTGTGCAACCTAAATGATGGGGAGAAAGGTGGTATGGATACGACTGACAGAGCAGTGCCAGTAATGGAGCTGTACAGAAATGCTGACAGTTCCATACTGCACAGAATGGGATGGTTCAGTAGAGGATTCAGGTATCACTGCTGGTCAGATTTTCCCAAGAGGTTAATTCAGAGTGACCATACCTGTCACCAGCACTAAGACAAGCGCTCACAAATGTTTATGCTGCCCTTCTGACTTCCATAAGATTACCTGGATACAAGCAAGAGGGGAACTTGTCCTGCATTATTTTGTCATGATCCTTCATTTAATTCATTTTTGCTACAATCTGCTTTTAAATACTGTCACCCTTAACTGGAATTCTGAGAGTACTTCAGGAAATCCCAGCTGCTGCATGGGGCTTATTAGAGGCCTAAATAAACACAAATTAGAGCAACTGTTGGAAAAAAGCCCCCCTACATCACAACAACCCCACAAAACCCACCATAGCAGCTCATAGCTCTGTCCTGCACCATCCTTCTAAGCTGTGTAATGGGAAACAACACAGGTTAGCAAAAGTGATGGAACTTGTTTCTAACATCTTTGTTAACCTGAGCACAGTTATTGTAAGGAAATAGCCAGGCTCCAGCATTGCCTTGGGAACTCTGGCAGCCCCTGCTTGTTGTTACTTACCAAGGGGTGCAGTTAGATACCTCTACATGAAGCATGCATTAAACGAGAGCATTATATTCTAGTGAACAAGAGCTCTATTCATTATCAAATGCCAGAGAGCTAGTCTCTAGTAAGAGCAGTGTTATTTTATCTTAGATTTAAAAGAAACAATAACCAAAATCGGATAAAGACAGAAAGTGCGAAATTCTTTTATTTACAACCATGCAACTTCACCAGCCTCAGTAAAATCCAACAACTACTTCGAACAACAGCAAACCATTATTCCAACAGTCACTTTTCCTACTCGTGCTCGTTGTTAGTCAGTGGCTATAGCACAAGTCAAAATAAGATACTTATTGTTGTATTCTGCGCCTTCGTGTCTCACGGACCATCGACTATTTCATAGCATAATTTATGGCAGAGCTAACGCGACCGAGCTCTTGTCCAGGGACTGCAATCACTACACAACGATCCCATGCAGAAAAGCAAGCACTCCGAGGGCTGGGTGCTGGGGTTCAGAGCACGAGTATCCCGAGCAGCTATTCCCGCACAGCTCCAGTTAACGGTGCCACCGGCCGCGTCCTCCCACCGGGACGCTGTGGGTCCGCTGCCGCCAGTTGCGGCAACCGCGGCACTGCGGTCTACAGCGGGCCCGAGGGACCGGCTGAGGGCGCGCACCACGCCGGGACCGCTGAGGCCCCACCGCACGGCGCTCGGTACGATGCCAGGCAGCCAGGCATGGCTGTGGGGGATGTAACCCCCGACCCGGCCTCTCCCCGCCGCACCGGCGGATGCGGTACCAGGGCTGGGGCCCCAGCCCGAGCACGTCGCCCGCCGCACCTCTTTGGGCGGGCCTCTCCGAGCTTTCCAGCCAATAGCAGCGCGCGTTCCTGCGATCGGCGCTCCCATTGGCCGAGGCCGCGGTTTCCGCCGAGGCCCGGGATTGGTGGCGGAGGGGCGGTCGGCAAAAGGCGGCAGCAGGCAAAAACCCCGGCGCGCGCCGCGACAGCAGCCCGCGCTCCGCGTGAGTCCCGGCGCGAGAGCCCACACCCGCACCGTGGGTTGCGCCATGGCGGCCCCGCCGCGGCTGTCGGGGCGGGGGGGGATGGGGCATGGGGGACGGGGAATGGGGAACGGGGGACGGGGGATGGGGGATGGGAGAAGGGATTCGGCCCGGCCCGGTCCGGTCTCAGCCGACCCGGCCCGCCCCGCCCCGCCCCGTGCGGCGCGGCCTGCTAGGCTGTGGGGAAGGCCCCGTTTCCCCCTTTCGGGCCCGGCCATCCCCGCCGTGCCGGTCGGAGCCCCACGCCCGCTGGGGAGGCCCCGTAGATTCCCCTTTCCCTCACTCCCGCCCCTCCTGCCCCCGTTATAACCGCTCGCACTCCAGACCGCCTTTTGGTGCGCCCCCTCAGAGTGCAGCTCGGAGAACGAGGGTTTCGCTGCCAGGGCTGCCCTGTTGAGCCAGCTGCGGTGACGGGCTCCACATGTTCCCCTTCCGACTGGCGGTAGTGGCATCGTTGTGGCAAACCGAAGTTCTGGTGTGCGGCTTCTGCCGCTTGTCTTGTAGTAAACGGTTTTACTGTGCATGTGTACAAAACATCAGCTCATTGCAAGGCTTAACCCAGCCACAGCGTTTGCTTTTTGTGGCTGCGCCATCCCTGGCAGTGTTCAAGGCCAGGTTGGACGGGGCTTGGAGCAACCTGCTCTAGTGGAAGGTGTCCTTGCCTGTGGTAAGGGGGCTGGAACTGGGTGAGCTTTAAGGTCCTTTCCAACACAGACCACTCTAGGATTCAACAAAGTAGAGATATCAACTTTTATTTTGGTCACACTCAAATTTCTCCCAGGGGTGTCCGTGTGGAGTTCCCACTTAAAGGAGCTCTGCATTTTAGTAGCAGCATTGCTTTAGCCAAGGATTCAGCAGCAGGATCGCCAGTTTCTGTGTACAAGGTTCAGGTACCTGACTCAGAAACCGCTGAAGCCGTGTGGGCTGTTTGAGTCTGTCACTCTCTGTTGTGTGTGGGGTTTATGGTTTATTTCATTGGAGATGTGATTTAACTGCAGGAAGGTTCTTTGAGCTGAAACTTTGGATCATTTTGTCTTAATTTTTTATGTCTAATGATGTAATTTAAGTGTTTTTTAACATAAAACTAAATACCTGACTGAATCAGATTTCATGTTCCATTTTATACCTGTTAAGTCCAAGTCCAAATCAGTAAACCATTTTTTAATGTATGCTCACAGTCAAGGTATTCAGTTCTGCACTTTGTAGCTTGTGTGTTTACCATAAATTAATGGAAATGATACATGGGGTTTTGAGCCCCCTTCACCCTCTCATGGCCAGCAAGCCCTGAATGTGTTCCCATGGCAGTTTGCAGGCAGAAGCGTTCACGTGCTTTTCCCCAACAAGATGCTTGCAGCCAGCTTTGAACTGGAAGAGCTGGGGCTGGCATGGGGCCGAATAGAGCAAGGAGGCTGTGAGGATGTCTCTGTTAATTTGCTCTCCTTATTCTGCTAATGAAGCCATGCTACTTCAGGGTTGGAACAGGCTTATCTGCCTACTCAGCAGTAGCAGAGGGAGTGTCTACCCGTGAGAGACCAAAAATCCTTCTAATCTCATTCCTTTAGTCCCACTCTCCAACAAAGCTCCTTCAAAAGAAGAGCCTGTTCCCTGTCCCTATTCTGTTGCACGAGGATGACAGACTAAAGGTAGCTCAAATTCTTCGGGGATAAAATACATTTCTAGCTCCATAGCTCAAACAGATGAATCCTTTGATTTGAAGTTTTTCAGGATATGTTTCCCCCTTGTGGAAAAGTTCAGCCAGAACTTGGAAGGTTTGGCCAAGTGGCAAGCAAGGAAGGTCTTTGGATGGAACCAAGGCTGGGCAGCTGTGAGAGGTGGTGCTTCCAGGCATACCAATCACCCGTTATCCTGCCCTGAGGCTCTCTGCCTTTCTTTTCTTAATGAAATAGGATTATCAATGGTTTTTGATTGTACAGTATGAGTACACTTTACTAATTTACAGTTTTATTACAGTGTTTCCAAGATTTGGAAAGAAGCAGTTCAAAATAAGCATATTCTATGATTTCTTGTTAGTGGGGAGAATGACACCTAATTATGCCCCTTTGTTAATCTTGCCTAGAAGAGGGAAATCTCTCATGTTGAGAAGATAATTTTGTTTTTCTCTTACAGTTCTTTCAGGATGTCTGGCTTTGTATGTTGCGGAACGCAGTGCAGCTATTTCTGTGTGCCTCAGTTCTTTGCCTTTCAAAGCAACCTTCCGGGAAAAGATAATGCTTTTATGTGAATGAGGAAACACACAAGAGATGAAAGAGGATCACTTCTGCCTAAGCTTATTCTGCAGTCTTCCCTCCCTTCCCCCTTTTTTACCTCTTACTAGAGATGCGTGGATTTACTGGTTTGTCTCTGGGATGATGGGTGACGCTCTGTTGTTTTAGGTAGCACAGAAGAACTCCTCTGACTCATTAAATCTCATGTGGGGAACTGAGTGTGGGGCCAGAAAGTGTCTTACCTGATCTGCTGCTGTGCTGGCTTCCCAGGGTGTCCCAGCGTGGTCCTCACAGTCTTGGGTTTTTCACTTCAGGTTTGTTGTGTGATGGAGGCAGTGTTGAGGTCTCACTGTGATGAACAGCACCCTCATCAGGCTGAAGACTTCCATGGAAAGCGCGAGGAGAACGGCAGGCTCTCAGGTATGTGCTAAAGCAGGGATTGCTAACACTATGTTTTGTTGCTGACATGCTTCTTCATCACTTCAGGAAGTTTCAGCATCGATTGTAAGCCTCTCTATATGTGACCCTGTTGTATAAAGCAGTAATGAAATGAAAACATTTGAGGTGGTTCTTGATTTTATGTTTATTCCTGCATATTTTGTATGTTACAGAACATCATCATCAACAATTTGTCACAATTTGCTCACCCTATATTTTCATTTATTACAAAATATTCTAAGAGAATAGCGGAACTCAAAAAAGACAGCCCTTGAGAATAAAATTGTATATATAATGACCGTTGATTTTCCTAGAAATAGGTAGTCCTGTCATTCCCTGCCACATCCATGTCTGGAATTACAGAGTGATGCTGAATAACATTTAATTGTCTCACTTCTTGTAAATGCTTTTCATTCCTGGAAGTAAAGGAAATTACTTTAAAATCTTCTCACAGGAAATGTTGGATAGGATTTATTCTTACACTCTGATGGAATAATGACTATATGTTCTCTATACCCAGCTGGGGATTCAGGCCCTGGAAGAGAATAGGTGATGAGTATACTGAGAGCCTGTTAAAACTGTGTTGCTATTAAACAACCTCTGTCCTGTAGCTGCTGACCTTCTGGGATGAAGATTGTGTAGGATGTTTCAGAATTCAGCAGCAGGATTATCTTCCTGAGGGGAAAGGCCTATGTCTTTGAGTGTTGCAATAACATTTCAATGTGAAGTTCTTTATAGTTCTGGTACATGGTTTCATCTTTTGATGTCTTTGAGTATTTGTGAGGAAAATGGAGCATAGTGCAAATCTCAGCCTTTCCTCTTCCTTTCTGAAGGTTTCAGAAAGCTTTTGTGTGTGTCTCATACTTGCCAAGTAGCACATGAGCATTTGTGTAAAAAATGGAAATTACTGCACAAACTACCTGGATATACCACTTTTTAAATGACAAAACTTTCTAGTGACAAAGTGACAAGAGTTACAGCAATACTGGATACATTTCTTAATAGAGTTCTGAGCACATGGGCAATCTGAATACCATCAAGGTAAAAAAATGTTACGTAGTAACTTCCTGAATTTTCAGTGTTACTTTCAATAGAATTTTTTACAATGTTGACAGGAAAATGAAGCGATTCCTCTCTGTAAAACTGAGGAATACCCAGAATAACTGTCCAGCTGACCTTAGCCTTTTCCTTCAGGGATTATTGGATGCAGGGCCCTGTACGTCTTGTACTAACAGTCAAATCTGGTCATTCTTATCCTAGGATAGCTTTGCAGTTTTTAGGTATGATTCCTGGCATAACTGATTATCCTTTTACTTGTATTTGTTGATCAAAAGCATCTTAAATGACTGTTGGAGGTTCTAGTGTGTAGTATAGAGGTTTGTTTTTTTCTTACATTCCTGAAATAGCTCCCCAGAAATGACTTAGAACAACCTGGAGAAGCAGAGGGAACACCTTAGAGGAAAACAATAAGTAACTGGATATAGCAAGAGAGGCAGCGGGCTCCAGTTCTCAGAAGTATTTTTAGTATGTTGGTTTTTATAAATTGTTGAAACAAGAAAAGTCACAGTCAGAAGTTACCGGTAGCTTGAATTACCAACTGATTTCTTGTGCTTTTACCAAGAAGAAAGGGTTCTTTAGATATCCTTCAGCTTTTGTTGCTGTATGAAGTGAGCTAACACAGGAGGTTGTGGTTTCATGCTAACCCATACTTTGTTTCTAGCATATCAGTGATATTTTAAAAATTCCCATTGTGGATGGTTTTCTGACCTGGTGCAACAGCACATTTTAATGGATACAATACAATTTATGTATTTATGTTAAACTTCATTTATTATTTATTTTTGGGGTGAAAAAATCTGTACACTTTTTTTTCCTTCCATTTGATGGACTTTCCAAATACCAGTTTGTGCTTAGTTCTGTGTAATCAAATATTCCCTACCGTTGCTTTACAGAAATGAGTCACAGCCTCTTCATACCTCATACATTCAAAAGAAGTGAGTTGTTATGCAGGGGATAGAGAGCACTTAAAGTACAAGCATTTGTAAACTGAATGGAAAACTACCTCGGTTTTTGCACTACTGTACTGTAGTACAGCGTCCTTGTCCTGCCATCTAGTGATCGCAGCACGAAGTGCAGCAACTTCAATGCAGAGCAAACATGGGGTTTGCTATTTTAAATAACAGTGTGAAGGACTGCATTCTTGAGCTTAAAAAAAGGATTTTCCTGCATTTTGGATTTTCATCCGATGGATGTGCTCCAGTGCTCACAGAAGCAGCTGTTGTAGTTTTGTCTATTAATGTACTTGACATTGCAAATCTCATGAAAACATTTATCAGTGAGCTGTAATGTGATGTTTGACTAACCAGGAGCCTTTTGCCCTGCCAGGAACTACAGATAATGGCAATGCCAGCAGGGACAGATACCTGTCTCTGCTGGTTTTTCCTCTGTGTGTGTAAATTCACTGTCCTATGAACTCAGGTTATGATTTGTGATCTCAAATGGAAATAGAATATTGAATCAAGCAATAAAATTCATATTTCCCCATTCTTTCCAAAGCAGGAATCAAAAAAGATATTGAAAAGCTTTACGAAGCAGTGCCACAGCTTGTGAATGTGTTTAAAATCAAGGAGAAAATTGGAGAAGGTAAACGTTTTATTTTAGCTACCTTAAACTTAGATTTCTTTTGGTATTTCTAACTTTAAAAGTATAAATCTAGGATGCCAGTATATGCAATTTAAACATTTACTTAAATTTACTTGATTTACTTCTTAGTTCTGTATATATGTTGCTGGCAGTATATATGTGTTACATAGGGATATTTGCAAGGTATTTTCTTGAAAATCTGGGGTATTAAAGCCTTTCAAAAAAACAGCATTCCAGTTTTGACAGCTACAAAGTTTGAGGTAGACTTGAGTAAATGCCTTAGCGCTCCATTCTTTATGTCTTTTACATGAGGAATCTGTTCATATGCAGCTGAGTTTTGACATATTTAACTACTGTTCCCTAAGGTGGCCTTGTTTCTCCCAAAACCCTGTAGGCAGAAGTGAAGGAGACTGAAAGATTATAGCTGCTTTATTTAAACCACCAAAAACTTACTTTCTCTTTTAAAGACATGTGGTATCAAATTTTAGGATGATTGTGTACACCTTGCCTTCAACAGACACTACTGCAGGTACCTTCAATTAATGTTAGGCAGGACTGTAAGTAGATGCTTAGGGATTTCAGCACTTTTTGGAACTTCACCCACTTGATCTCTGAAATGCTTTATGACACTCCACAGTTTAAACAAAGATGTTGATGAGAAGGTGGATTGTTCTATGGCTGTTTCATGATGGAATACCTGTGATGGCAGGCTACAGGGCTAAAAGTTCTTGTCTCAAATCCTCTCAAAAAAAACCCTCCCAAACCCAGCTCCGTTCACAGCAGCAATAACAATTTCAAGACCAAAACAGTTTCAAAGGAGTTCCACCTGTCATAAGAAAAGACAGTATAATTAAAGTAAGTCTCTGGTTAAGGACTCTTGCTTTTGTACTCTTAAGTACTCTTGCTTTTGCTCTTGGGAGCAAACAGTGCTTTTAAGAAGTACCATTTGCAGTTTGCAGCATTATGGGAAAACAACTTAGGATTCCACTCTGGAGTCACTTTCATTTTAGCAGTTCTCACCACCAAAAATAATGTCTTAGGTCAACTTGGTAACCCTTGTTGCTATAATCAGTGTTACTGAATGTAGCGGACTCCAGGGGTTTTGTCACAGCAAGAAGCATTTAGAGGTTTTGCTTGCATTTTTGCATGTATGCATGCACTTACAGACTGTTGAACTGGCATGATGCAAACGCAGTACTTAATCAGTGTGATTTGTAGTGTTTATTCATGTGGAAGAATGCTTCAACTTGTGTATTCAGGTATCTCAGATCATTAGGATAAATTAACTTTCCAAGAGGTATGTTAGGATATACTTAAAAGGAAATGGGTGAGTCTGAATACTTCCTTTCTCAAGTGAGTCTGTCACATTCTGTCTATGCAGCAATGCTCTGGGCAAACAAATAGTAAAGTTACACATCATGTGAGAAGTCTTACTTTATAGGTAACAGAATTAAGAAAAATATAGCAATTTTAGAGGTGCTTTGAATAGTAAAGGCAGTGCTTTCCAGCTAGCATTATATAGCCCACTTACATTGTAAGGAGAGAAGTTAGATGTCAGATGAAAGTAAGCTACCCAAACAAGAACGCAAATCAAAGATAGGAAATTTACATTCAAAGAGCTCTGTGTCCCAGGCAAGCTAGACAGTGTTACATTTGCATTTTTACTGACATAAAAAACTTGTATACAAGATCCCTGAATTCAGGAGTAGAAAAAAGGAGCTGCATTTTTCTCTTCTCGAGTTGGCTTTTGATGTAGTGTCAAATACACAGCAGCAGGATTGTGAACAGTTAGATCACTTCTGTAGAAATCTGAATTGACCTAATTAAAAATGCTGAAGACAGTGTTCTTCTCCTTTCCCTACAGGTACTTTTAGTTCTGTTTACTTGGCCACAGCACAACTACAAACAGGACATGAGGAAAAAATGGCTCTGAAACACTTGATTCCAACCAGCCACCCTCTGCGAATTGCTGCTGAACTTCAGTGCCTCACAGTAGCAGGGTACATAAACAAAGAAACAGTGGTTGTTTCAGCTGCTGAACATTGTCTCACTGTTCTTTAAGTTTTGGCATTTCACTTGCTTGCTTTTTTTTTTTTTTTTATAAGCACAGAAATGTATATTCCTTTTATCAAGAGCAAATAAGAAATGGAATGTCTTACCTGTAATGGATGCCCTTTTTTGCTAGTCTCAGTTTGCAGATGTGTTTTCCATCTGAGAAGTTGTATGAGGTATCTCTGATAACAAAAATTCCAGGTCTGAAGTGCTTGGAAAAAAAAATGTCTTCATCAGAAAATGTGGTTTCAGGTATAAATGCCTGTTACCAGAGTGTGCTGAATGACACCTTCTTAAAGGAGTTGATATCATAAAGGTTAGGTCCTATGTTTAATTACAGCTGTAACTACAAACCATGGCCCCAGAAATAATCTTTGGAGCCTTTACTGCAAATTGCAAACGGAACATAGCAATGAGTGGCACCAGGATGTCAACTGACTGTTGTCAAATATATAAACTAGATCATAAAAGAAAGCCTGAATGAAGTTTTTAAGAAATAAATGGAAATAAAGATCTAGCTTCTGGTCTTTATTCAGTGGCATTACTTATCTTCTAGGGGACAAGATAATGTTATGGGAGTTAAATACTGCTTTAGGAAGAATGATCATGTGGTTATTGTTATGCCGTACCTGGAACATGAATCCTTCCTGGTGAGTCCCAGACTTCTTACGTGTACTAAAACCTTTTAATTGAAAGCAGTTGCATAATTACAGTATCCATATAATCTTTCAGGACATTTTGAATTCTCTTTCCTTTGAAGAAGTGAGGGAATACATGTTTAATCTGTTCAAAGCGCTGAGGCGCATTCACCACTTTGGGATTGTTCACCGTGATGTCAAGCCCAGTAACTTCCTCTACAACAGGCAGCTAAAGCAGTAAGTCTGTCCAGATGCCCATGTTGTGATCTCAGGTGGGGATGTGTGCCTTGGCAGAACAGAGTCAATTAAGCTTTTGGGGCTTTTTTCCCTTCCAGCTGCATAAAATGTGCTTAAGTAATAAAGCGAAAAAATACTCATTTGTAAACCTTTTCTTTCTGTGTTTAGGGATTCAAGGGTAATGATTCTATAATTCTATGTAGTAAAAGTTTGTAAGGGAGGTTTGATTATACTTTGCCAAACCGTAAGCTTAAAAAGTGGAGAAGTACCGATTGTTTATTTATTCAATCTGTCAAAATGAATTTGTAGTGGTGTTTTCCTCTTCCAGCGTTTATTTGAGCCTTAATCTCTACTTGAGGTGTGGAGGCCATGGAATTAAGTTTGAGACCCAGAGACCGGGGTTTTGTCTCTGTACTGCTTGTAGCAGAAAATAATTCTTTTAAAGACAGATCTGAAGTGTGAGCGAATGTGGTCTTACCTGTTTGAAGACTGAAGTTAATTCCAGTAGTACTGCGTGAAGTCTGACAAAACTCTCAGCATTTTTAGCCTTGTCTCCGTCATTCCTGCATTTGTCCTCTGACCATGGGAGTCCTGCAGGGGTCAAGTCACTTGACTTGGCTGCAGGCTTGGAGCTGTAGAATTAGAAGAATCCCATAAAGGAGTTGCTGGGAATATTTTTTTAACACCACTGGAGAAAGTGGAGCAGATTTTGAGGCAAAAAAACAGTGAAATAAAATGGGTATAGTGTGAAACCATTGAGGGGATAGCTAAAAAGGGCAAGAGAAAGAGGAGGAAAATAAGGCTCTGATGCTGGCAGCAGTATAGATAAGCAATATATTGAGTAAAGCTTGAGAGAAAGATAGTAAACAAGTAATGAATAGTAAATTGAACTTACTGATGGGTACTTTGTGGTTTCTGATTGTAAGTTTGTGTCTTTCAGGTATGCCTTGGTTGATTTTGGCTTGGCACAAGGAACCCCTGATACAAAAATTGAACTTCTCAAAACTGCCCACTGTGAAGATCAGCAGGGAAGTTGTTCGCAAAATAATCCCACCATAGCCTTGGGAAATGGGGTTTCTGTCAGTGTCACAGCACCTGCACAGATAGCTCAACACTCAGCCTCAAAAGCAGCTGATAAAAGGTCCAGCTCACTATCAAAAATACATATTAAACAAGGAAGAGGAGGAAAGGTTCTCAGACTTTTTCATTAATATTGTTGTATGTTTAATGTATTACTTCATCCATCAGGGGGAGATGTAATACTAGAATAAAAGCTGTACATGCATGTCTTGCAGGTCCTAATGTGATGCACAGAGCTACAGCTTTCACATCAAAGTGACTGGTTTTACTGGCATCATTCATTACCTGTTAGATATACAGTGCCAAAGGCTGTGTAAAAAACCCTAGCATGGGTTTCTATTTAGACAGCCTTAACTTTTCAGTGATGTGCTTTGGAATTCCTCTCCAAGCCAGTAATTATTCATCTGTGCTTGGTTTCTAAATTGCATAACAAATACAGCACAGATGACATTCAGATTGTCTTGGGGCGCTTCTGAGGTGTGATTGGTTTTGCTGTTCTGTCTAGACCATGTTTTCCTCATTCCCAGTAAACTGATGTCTGAAAATGACTTACCATGCCACTGTTCTTGTTTTATGTCACTTCACGCTTTGTTTTTCTGAACTGTCAGTGTGCAGCTGTGTTAGGTAGGATCCTCACTGTCCTTTCTCTTGGTATTGCAGGAGGATTCTGTGCACCATTCTGTCCAGCGCTCTGTCTTTGGAGAGAGGAATTTCAATGTCTATAGTTCCACATACCAAGAGAACTCGAGTACAAAAGTAAGAAGTATGACTTACCAGTAAGAGCAATCTGTTACGTATCTGAAAAATTACAGAACTGGTTGTTCTGTAAAATTAGATACTCCAGGATGCTGTGAAACTACAAGTTTTGGAGCAGATTATTAAGTTTGTCTTTGGTGAAAGGCTTGAATAATTTTTCCTGTCTATGTCAGCCCCCTTTGAAATTCTTCAAGAGCTAGTTATGTCGCTGTCCCCCGAACTGATCTTGTGTGTGCAATCAGTCTTTTCTGCTACACGTGTACCTCTACAACTAAGATACACTTATCTTGTCAGACTTTTTTCTTTTATTTTGCAGTTGAAGCTGGAGATAAAACTTGTAGTAAATATTTTTCTGCACTTTTTCTTGTTAGTATTTAATATGACAGGGGGGAAACCCAATTAAGTTAGAAGGTTTGGCCAGCAGTGATCATCTTATTCTAAATTAGAGGTACTGCCTGTGTATTGCTGTGGCATTTCATGTACTTTGTTATTTTGTTCTTATGTTGAGGCAAAAGAATTTGTGAAGCACTATATTAACCTGAGAGATACCTGTGTTGTAGCTTCAGAATATCTAATGTATATTGTTTTTTGGTAAACACTGGAAAATGTTTTCTGAAGGGAAATGGGAGGAAACCAGGATACGTAGAAAGCTCCAGTGTCTGTTTTATAGATGTTGTGATATTATTGAAAAGGTTTGCTGTGTTCTGTTCTAAAATTGCAGCTTCTTGCTCCTGAGCATCTCTTCAGTCTTAGTATTTTAGGAACTGGCCTATTTGTGTGTAAAAGGGAAGTTTCTTAAATATGTCACCTTCTCTGAAATATCTACATTGCAGCTCATAAAACAATCCAAGATGATAGATGTTTCATCTAGGAAGTTAGTAACAAAGAAGAAGATTATTTCTACCAAAGCAGTGAGCAATGGGGCAGCCAGGAAAGCTGCCAGTGCCTGTCCCTCAAACCTGACCTGTGACTGTTACGCAACAGACAGAGTTTGCAGTGTTTGCCTTTCAAGGTAATTTGCTTTGATAACGTTGTAAAATTGCCTGTGTGCTGTCAAGCAGGGTCAGAAACGTGGATTTCTGGACAGGCGATTAAGTAAGTAAAAAAAAGCATTTGATCTGTGCAACCCTTAAAACGCTGAACATTCTCTTTTTAAACAAGAAACGTTCATGGAGTTCATGGACTAATTGGTTCACTGTCTGCAGCAAGAAGGATTCACTGCTAATGATTTTGTTGTATTTAATTATCCACCTTCATGCATTATAGAAAATTGCTTGAATTAATTACAACACTTAAAGCAGACAATACATCAATCTGTCATTGGTAGTTACCTGTTTAATAGGCCTAAATCGGCCAATGGTTTGGATTGTGGAAATCATGGAACGTAAAAGGGAAATCTGACTGTTTGTATTTGTTCATTTAAAAATAATGCTTTTTTATAACTTTTAATAATAGGTTAGAGAATCTTAGTAACTCAGCTCAACTACATCCCTCTGCAGTTAGCTTTGGTTAGGATCTGCTACTGCCTTTTATCTACACATTAAGGCACACAGATTAAGGCAGAGAATTCTGCTACTAGGCATAGCCATGAAACTGTGGGGTCCCCTCTTCCCAGACTGTCAAAATATGGTGTTATCAACTTCAAACTTGAGGAATTTGCCCAACTCAGAAGTGGCCATAGAAGAAGGTCATACAAGAAAGCTCTGGAAAGGAATTTGGGGTTTTTTAAATAACGACAATCTCACACCTTTTAGGTAATCTAATGAAAAGTGATTTCTTGTCAGCATTCAGAAATAGTGAACATTAGTTTGCTGTGGACTAATACAAAGTCCTGAGGCGAGACCAGCCTCATTCAAGAACCTAGTGCATATTTTTGCCTTTGGTTAATCAGTCTCAACTATAAAATTTCCTATGGAAAGAAGCCTTTAGCAAAAACAGTGCTGCTGTTGAATGAAACTAAAAAAGGTCACTGTGAGTGAAGTGCGCAATAAGTATTTCTGTGGCATTACCTTATGGTAGATAATAACTATCAAAATAATATAATAATAGAATAAGGCTTATAATTATCTTATACAACATAATTTTATACTAGGTAATTATAAGACACTTCAAACTCCTATACAACTGGAGTAAGACTGGGTTAGGCTGTTTGCATATCTTACACGAGTAATATTTAGCATTACTATAGTTAGAGCTGTTTATCAACTTTTATATTCTGAACATATTTATCTCTTATTACAAGGTGTCAGCAAGTTGCTCCCAGGGCAGGAACACCAGGATTCAGAGCACCAGAAGTATTAACAAAGTGCCCCACTCAGACCACAGGTAGTGCACCACAGACTGAAGCCAGTGCCATTTTCACCTTTTGATCGTTGTTACTTATGCATATTATGTTGTCTTTTTTATGGGAGGATTTTTGTTTACCTGTGAGATTCATTTTATCATCCCTTCTAACACTCATGAAGCATTTCCTGATTTTACTTAAAAGTATTATTCAGAGTAAGAACAAGTTAGGAATGTTTTTCCTGTGTTTGAAACCTGAATGTGTCGTTACTCACTTTAGGGGCAGTGCTGTGTGCAGGAGTTGAACACAGTGCATTTTAAAAGAAAACTAAGCTGTAATTTTTATCAAGTTTCTTGGCTTACAGGCTTGTTTATTCAAATAAAATCATGAATAAACCTGAGGGAGAGTTCGTAACTTTAGACTTCTCTAGTCAGATTGTCACATGTAGTTTGCTGTCATAGCAGGCAGTTAATGGTATAATTACAGATGTGTTTTAGAAATCGTTGCTTAATACTTTTTATCAGATTTTTTCCTTTTTGCTGTTGCTTTAAATAGCTGGTCTGTGAAGGACAGCTTCTTTCCTTACTGCATTTTTAATTTCTGAGGGTTAAAAACTAGCAAGTGAAGTTTCAATAGTCTGGGAAAATACCAGTGCAGAGCAGAGGGATGCTTTAATGCATCAACTGATGCAAGTAGGATGGGAGAGATTATGCCTACCTAGAGAATGGAGGACAAAGAAAAGCAAAGTTACTTGTTAAACATTTGGTGTATGACAGGAGCTTTCAGTCCTGGGGAATAAATACAAACATTGTAAAAAATCTGATTTAAAATAAAATTAGCTACTTTTTTGCTGAATATCTTTTGACAAAATTGTCAATTTGCAGTACTTAAAATGTGTTAAGTCTCTTCTGAGTGTGCATACAATGTCTTTGATCAGCTTATCCCCAAATAGCATGATGTTATTTGAAACAACATCTGTGCTGGGGGCATGACTGGGGTTTCGAGAGGCACGGCAGGCTGTTTGGAGTCAGTATGCCTGTGCTGTAACAGCCAGCTTTATGGGCCAGAAGACATCCAGAAATCCAGGACAAGTTTAGACAATCTCTGAGCCTGTCTAGACAGAATTTAGGCAGAAAGAAGACATACCTAGGAAATCTTGGACGCATGCTGGTGCTAAATACGCTTTCAGACCGCTTTCTATTCTCTAACGGAGAGCAGGATTACAAAGAATATGGATAAATCTGGAAAGCCTTGGGTGTGGCACAAACAGCCCTGAAAGTACTGACTCACTGGTCCCAAGCTCTTGTATGTCAACAAAGGCCTTCATTAGAGCTGCATAGACTAATACTAATATTTATGAGATGATGTTGTATTTGAACTAACAAGTCTTGTCCACTTCCATCTGGGGCTCCTGCAGTCACCTCCTTGTATTTTTGCCAGTCTTACTACTAATTTTTGGTCTCTGTGCTGAGACCAAGTTACCAGATGGATCCAGCTGACTCTATCCAGAGCTACTTTAGTGCGTCTGACCCAGGCTTACAGTGCAGGGAATACAACCTAAACCCGAAAACTGACGTTATACGGCACCAGTGACACTTTAACTCGGCTTTTCCCTCTGTTCCCCCTTCCTCAGTCTGCCCACTGGTTGTCACTAGACCAAAGCATAGAGTCATGCCTTTGATGTCATTGCACAGGATCTTGCAGTGTGCTCATGATCCCAGCTCTACCAGAACTGCAGGGCCAGGATTTACCAGCCATTCAGATATATAATGGCTATTAATTTCACCATGAGTAATTAAGCTTCTTTAAAGATCCTGACCTACCACACAGCTGGGATGATGTACACCACCTCAGACAGAGAGTATGGTCTTTTCAACAGTGATACAGTAATAGTATAACTTTTTTTTTTTACAGGAACTATGAAGATACAACTTTTTTCCACTGTAAATTATGCCAAATTATTAACTTGGGGGTTATTTTTTCCTTGAAAGACTTAGAATCTGATTTTGCAACCGAAGTCAGCCTAATACTTTCCCCCCCCTAAGTCTTGTGCTAATAGTATTTCTAACTAAAGCATTCAAATTAGCTACTGCCTATTTTACTAGTTAGAGGAGAATAACTATGACTTTATTTCTCAATTGTTATTTTTTTCTCTTCAGAGTTTGAGAACCTTTCAAACTCTCTCCTGCACTTTCCTTGCCATCTCCTCACAAACCGTGCACCTCAGTGAGCCAAAAACTTATGGCAGACAGGTATTCTCATAACTTTCAGTATTAAAGTTTCCATCATGCTTTGGCATCCATCCCCAGAGCACTCTCTGTACTCTTCATAACACAATGAAAGTGATGAATAACTTCTACTATTACAGTTCTTAAACTGGCTATCTTGTCAAATGATTTCATATTCAAGAGGAACAAAGTTCATAGCAAGATAAATTTCTCTAGTACTGCCTAACTGTGGCAGTCTCAGCACCAGGAAAAGTCAGATTTGCATTCATTTGTGGGTTAATTTTTATTTATGATCCTTGGATAAGGTTTTCTTCATATCAAAACTAGTCATTTTTTTGCCCCCTCTCATCACCATGGGTAAAACAACCTCAAACATTGTTTTGGCACATTATGAATTTAGCAAGTTAATGTAATTACTCACATGAAT